GCTAAACGATAACGGAGTGCCGGCGAATGTGATACGCTTTGGTAAAATAGGTTAATATATGGGGACACAAGACACATAGAGTAGAGCTCGAAGTGGAGTTTTATAGCCGAGTTTAGTACAAAGTCCGAAGAATGGCTCATAGCAAAGCTCAGAACAAAGCCCGAAGTCGGAGCCCCAAAACAGAGCGGATTCAGAGCTCTAAGGGGGAGCTTAGAGCAGAGTTCAAAGCAAAACATATTACAAGCCCGAAGCATGGTTCGAAAGCAGAACACGCAGCAGAACACGCAGCAGAACACGCAGCAGAACACGCAGCAGAACACACAGAGAGTTCAAAGCTAAGCATAAACAACCGGCAGAGACGGAGTGAATAAAATTGAAACGAAGGGTATTGCTGGTGGATGCCATGGCAGCGGCCCAAGATAAACAAAAGGAGTACTCAGACAAACAAGGAAGAGGAAACTTAAGTATATTTGAGGTTGGTGACTTAGTGTTGCTAGACACGAGGAACCTACCTCTAGACACTGTTAGCTCTGTCGGCAGCAACAAACTGAAGCACCGCTTCATCGGACCTTTTGCAGACCTGGCCAGACATGGTGCGTCGTACACCATCGACCTTCCAAAGTCAATGACGACGCACCCGACGTTCTATGTCGGACGTCTTATGGGGTTCTTTGACCCGCAGGGGGATGGTGATTCGTAGATCTCGCTTGAGGAGGTGCTCGAACTGTGTACAGATCACAGTCGTCGACGAGGGCGTCGGAGCAGGCACCCAAGCCTCGATCGGGACGGCAAGGCTGCGGTCAAGACCGTACGCCGGAGGGGCTCCATACGAACGGACCCCGGCGCCATACGCCGAGTACGCCGGGTACGCACCATACGCGTACGTCTGGGAGTGTGCCGCAGGCGGCTCCGGACGTGGCAACAAAGCCTCGATCCGACGGATCCGACGGATCATGCGAAAGGCCTCGTCCAGATCGGACGAAGAGGCCCGGCGATCCACCCGCAGGTGCAGGCTCGCGACCTCTCGCTCCACCAGGTCCAGGCGACCCGCAAGACGAGCGAGCTCGCCCTGATTCCCGGCCTGGGCGGCAGCATTACCGCCAGTCCCAAGGCCAAGTGCAATCTCAAGCACGAGGACACGTTGACGGAGGCGGTCAACCTCAGGGTCCCGTGTCGGACCCGCAGTCGGAGCACTCGGACGAGAGTAGCTCTCGGAGAGGCGCCGAATACTCGTACTCGTACGAGGGCACCTCCGCCCCTGCTTGACCAGAATGGAGAAGTCCACTTCCACGTGGAGCGGATCCTCCAGGAGCAACGGTGTCGCGGCAAGCGACAGCTCCTCGTGAAGTGGAGGGGTTATGCCCACTCCGAGAACTCGTGGGAGCCGATAGAACGGCTCCTGATTGACTGCTCGAAGGCTGTCGCAATCTGGGAACAGAAGCGGCGGCAGCTTCATAAGTAGTCCGGGGCTTCTTGCCCGAACGGGGTACGGACGATGAATACATACCGTACCCGCGCTCATCGTGAGCGCCAGAAGCCGCGCGCTTCAGGATGTCCCTTGGCAGCATACGCTTGCTGATCAAGTGGGCAAACCTCACACGAAGATCACGCTGGTCCAGGATGTGGGACAGCTGCTGATCTTCATGGAGTTCCCATAACTCCGTGGGCGAGTACTTGAGAGTCTCCACCCACGCCCAGAACATGTCCTCACAGGAACTCCACGTGGGACAGTTCTCGGGCATAACCCAGGGGTATCCCCAAACAGGATAGAGACCACCCCGGGTCTCGGGCTTCTTACGACAAGTCGTGAAGTCCTTAAGGGGAATGCGGTGTTGCGCGAGAAGCACACACCGAGCAGCCTCCAAGTTGTCGATGAACAACTGTTCTTTCTGAACAAGGGCTCGTTCATAGATGCCCCTAGAAGTGTGGCCGCCCACAAGGCCACGAGGAGCGACGAGAAGCTCTAAGAAGAGGTCAGCCCCAGAGCTCTCCTCGGGAGGCCAATACCCTCTTGAGTTGATGGCAGCTGCCTGGCTGACGGGTGCCGCCACCGAACCCCCACGCACACGCTGGGCAGCTTGGAATTCCTCCTGCTGCTGGTCGAGGTCATTCGAGACCTCCCGGGGCTCAACGATAGCACCCTCCTCCTCCTCTTCTTCCTCCTTCTACTTCTCTTCATCCGAGTTGCTGCTTCAATACAATAGTTTACACTTAATTATTGATTTTTACAAATTGGATGACTTTGTCCAATTAGTTATTTTGTATTTACAGCAAAGTACTTTATTTTTTCGTAAAATCTAGTTTTTTCTGCTTTGTTTTGCGTAAATACGGAGCTCGGTCTCCAGACAGAATAGAATGGCTGTTAGCAACGGTCGCTCAAAACGCGAACCTGAGGAGCTCGTCTATTATTTTTGATCTCACCATGGCTCTCGCCAACACCTTCACGACCAAGCAAGTCTGCAGCTACTTTTTTACTGCCAGCTTAGCGACTTCCAGTCGGCCACCATGAAGCTTCAAGACGACAACGTAACGCTTCTCGATGTGCGCGATATCTTTGATGCGCTCATCGAGAAGCATTCCGTTGTGAAAAAGTATCTTGCTGCCGACGCAAATACGTGGACTTCGAGCGAGCGTGCGTTGTAGCCCTGTCAGGCGCCGTGGACGAGCTGACGAACGACCAGGAGCTGATGTTGCAGCCATTTGAGACGGTACCTGCAATGACGACACCGGACACCAGGCACGGACGCCCACAGGGCTTTGCCGACAGAGTCTTGGCGACTACACCTTTTCAACTTCAAAATGGCGACAGGTAAAATCAAAGTGACAAGACGTAAGTTCAAAGTGACATGACACTGACACTTAATATTTATGGGAGTATTTACGTTTGGAGTTCATTAGATGAAAGAGGCAAAAAGTGGCGGCAACTACTCCCGCCAATTTTGGTGGACGCTGGCTGGCTGTACGGCGTCGATGGAATCAGTGGACACTGTTGCTGCAGTTTGTGGCCGCACTGCCTTTCATTCATGTAGCAATTCTCACTGTGCTTCCTACCCACACAGCAATGCTGTACGACGACGCTACCGTTCGACGGGTTCTCCGTGCAGCTCACGAAGGCCAAGATTGGCGCGATGTCGCGCCATCGTCAAGCTATTCTACGCGTCCCACCGCACCTCACCATCAAGGCGCACCGTGAAAGCTACCTAAAGCTGGCTGCAGACCTCCTCGTACTCGAAGCTATCACCCCAGAACTTTGCTACAAGTGCTCGTTGCACACCATGAAGTTCCATGCGCGTGCGATCCAGATGAAAGATATGCCTGTAGGAGAATAAAGACAATATCAAGAATAAAGACAATATCAAGTTTGGCTTTGCTGGCTCCTATGTTCGATGTCACTTTGAACTTACGTTTTGTCACTTTGATTTTACCTGTCGCCATTTTGAAGTTGAAAAGGTGTAGAGTCGATCGCTGTGTTGAGCACCAGGCCTGTACTCGTTTCTTTCGAATTATCTGTCTCGATTCCGCAGCTACGGACTGTAATGGGCCTATTCGGCGCCCACTACTTCGGCTTAAACGTTAGCGCACGCGTGAGGAAACGTTAAGGTGCGCTTCTCTTAG